GATTCGGATTGTGCATATTCTGCGGAAGGGTGGGAAGAAGGTACAGATGATGACGGTGATGGTCGAGTGGTGGAAACTTGACCTTGATTTTGAACAATTCCTATTCTTTGTACACTTGACCTCTCGATTTTGTTGGAGTGATGCCCAATCGGGCGTGGCGAGTTGTCGCCTCTGCTACATCATGCATATGAGGGAGCGAGGAAGGGGCATGGTACGGGCTGTGAGTACAATGGGTGGCTCCTCGCCGCTATAGGTAATGGAAGGAAAGGGGCCGACCGGGCGAAACGGGGGGGGGGCTTAATCAAAGCATGAAGGGATGACCGGAGTTCTGACGACTGGAAACTACTGCGTCTGGAAAGGGACCAAAAAGCAAGACTCTTTATTTTGTAATGCTCGACTAGTTGGGCAGGAAAGAGGGAGAGTGAGCTGGGCGAGGAGGATCAAGTTGACAAAGGCAGCGTAGGAAACATGTGCGGGACGAGGCTGTGTTGATGAACCGAGCTGACCATGGGATCTTCCTGCTTTGGCTGAAAAGCACCTGTGGCAACCCGGACCAACATTTTTGTGTATCATAGAAAGAGAAGCTTTGGAATGAACGTTAGACAAATCGAGTGTATTTCTGTTGGTATTTCTTGATCTTGCTTCGGTTGGAGTAACGTGGTTCCTTGCGCATGGACTATTTTCGTTGGTTACTTGTCAAGGAATGAGGGTGACACGGGAGAGGGTCGAGGCTTGGACACGGAGAAATGAGGGAAAGGGGCGCTGGTGGTGGCAGAAAAAGGTGGGTGTTGGATTGTTTGGTTGGCGGGACGGATGTCACCCAAGCCAGATGTTTGGTGGTTGTACTGGTATTGTTGGAGTTAGTGGAGGTGTGATGGATGGTATCACATGTAGCCTGGGCGCGGGAAGAAAAAGTGAATCGACCAGGGGGAAGTGAGTGACATCATCCGATCTGAGGACAATTAGCTTTAGAGTCGACTTGGCGAGTCACTAGTGGCCGCAAATGGTTTGAGCTAGTTCATATTTGGTATAAAAGAGAGGCTCTAACTGGTTGACATCATGTGTCCGATACTTTCCTCAGCTTGCTTTGTCCGGATGTTTACTTGTTGTGACGGTTCAGAGTTCAGCTGGGGCGGCTCAAACTGGGCAACTGGGCAGATGGGGCATCTGCACCTGGTCAGAGCCCTCCTCAATGAGTACGAGTACGTTCCATGCATGGGCTATTGGTGTCCATCTTGAGACTGGTGAGCGCCCATCTGCCTCCCCCCTGTACCTCTCCAAGGCCCAATAAGACACAATTCGTCATCTGTGAGCTCATCTTGCGGGCAACAACGCACCACCCACACCAACATAACAAGTAACCCTGCCGTCCTTCCTCGCGTCACTCCATGGTCCATCATAATAAATATCCATCCTCCAGTCCGCCGCGCCCATCCTCCTCAAGCGAAATTCCTTGATCCTCTGGTTTCTGTTCCTTCTCGCTTATTCTCCACCCCTTCTTTCGCTTCTCTCCGTCTAGTCAGCGAGCCAGATCTCATCCTTCTCGCTTAAACAAAGACCGATTCTTAGCCTTGCCTTGGTACTGGTTGGCAAGGCTGGCATTCCCCCTCCTCTAACAGCTTCAGAAATCCCCAGATACTGAGCTGCGATGGACGGGAGTACAATCACCCACGTCTTGTATCCTCGACAGGTGTGTATTTTATCCAACACTACTCCAATGGCTTTTCTGACTGTTGCACCTACAGAGCCAAGGGGCCAATCGAAATCAGGGCTCCAACTCACTGTCGGGCATCATTTCCACCCTCGTTCCTACCTTGGTCATTGCGGTCGTTGCGTTCACCGCTTTTCTCTTCGTTCGCACTCGCTATAGCCGCGTCTACCGACCTAGAACCGACGACAGGATCTTGGACAAGGGATGGACCACTCCTCGTTCCGGCTCGGGCTTCTTTGGCCTCCTGCGCAATTACAAGTCTCTCCCCGATTCCTACGTTCTAGGCCACAACTCCCTTGACGGCTATCTGTGGCTGCGCCTACTCAAGGTCTTGATTTTGGTGAGCTTTGTGGGATGCTGCCTTACTTGGCCTGTGCTGTTTCCTGTCAATGCGACAGGACATGGCGGCGAAGAGCAACTGGACATACTGAGCATGAGTAACGTGGCCAATCCCAACCGATACTACGCCCACGCTGGCATTGCCTGGATCTATCTCGGTTTCATTACCCTGCTGATCGCGCGCGAGAGGCTCAACTTTGTCGGTTTGCGACGAGCGTACTTTCTCTCTGCTGCGCATGCCCAACGCCTCTCCTCGAGGACCATTCTGCTCATGGGTCTCCCCAGCGACTACATGGAGGAGAAAGCTCTCCGTCAGATGTTTGGCCCCCGTGTTCGCAAGATCTGGCTTCAGACAGACTGCAGTAAGCTAGAAGACGATGTGAAAGAGCGGCAGAAGACCGCTTTGAAACTGGAGGGTGCCGAGATGAAGTTGATCAAGCAAGCCAACGCCAACCGTCTCAAGAGTGAAAAGAAGAACAAGACTCCAGAATCTCCTGAGACGGTCGGCTTGGAACCCAAACGCTGGATCAACCAGAAGAAGCGTCCTTCGCACAGACTCAAGCCCCAGCTCTGGAAGAAGGTGGATACTATCAACTGGTCGCGTGGGAAACTCGAGGAACTCAATCGTTACGTTCCAGAGCAGCAAACTGAGCACCTCGACCTGAAACACACTAAAGTACCTGCTGCATTCATCGAGTTCGACAACCAGACCGCTGCTCATAACGCCTACCAGTCGGTCGCACGCGAATCCCGAACCAAATTCTCCCCTCGGTACATCGGCGTCCAGCCCAACGAGGTAGTCTGGAAGAACTTGGGTGTCAGCTACACCTCCAGAAAGTCTAAGATGCTGATCGCAACCATTGTCATCTGGGTCATGGTCATCTTTTGGGCAATTCCCGTGGCTTTTGTGGGCGCCCTATCCAACATCAATTATCTGACGAACAAGGTGCACTTCCTCAGCTTCATCAATGATATCCCCAAGGTGATCTTGGGCGTGGTCACGGGTTTACTGCCTGTGGTGCTTCTGGCAGTTTTGATGGCTCTCGTCCCCATATTCTGTGGGCTTTTGGCAAAATTTGCTGGAGAGCCGACCTTGTCAGCGATTGAGCTCAAAGTCCAGTCTTGGTACTTCATCTTCCAGGTGGTACAGGTCTTTTTGATCACCACATTCACGTCCAGTGCGTTCCATCCAGTTGAAATTATTGAATCAGAACCCCGCTGACCATGGAATTAGGTGCCAGCGCCGTGACCACACAGATCATCCAGAATCCCGGCTCTGCGCCAACTTTGCTCGCGAAAAACCTACCCAAAGCATCCAATTTCTACATCAGTTACTTCATCCTCACCGGTCTATCACAGGCCGCTCTGCAACTGCTGAACATTGTGCCCCTGCTCATGTACTCTGTGGTGGGCAAGTTGTTGGACAAGACACCGCGGAAGCGATACAATCGATTCACCAACATTGCCGGAATAGGTTGGGGCTCGACATATCCCAAGTTTGTCCTCTTGGGCGTCATTGCCATCACATATGCGTGCATTGCACCGCTGATCTTGGGATTCGCCACGATTGGATTCTGTCTTCTCTATCTGATGTTCAGATACAACTGGCTTTTCGTCCTGGGTAACAAGGTCGATATGAAGGGCGAGGCCTATTCTCGAGGGTTGAAACAACTTATGACCGGCGTGTACCTCGCATCTATCTGTCTCATTGGCCTTTTTGCTATTGGCTGCAGTAAGAGCGCCAGTAGCGCCGGGCCATTGGCTATTATGGTGGTGTTCTTGGTTGTTGTCATCATCTTCCAGGTCTTGTTCGACCGCGCGATTGCTCCCATGGAACAACATATGCCGCTGGAGCTGTTGAACAGCAACAAGTACAGTACGACCATCATGGAGCAGCTGATCGATGAGAAACAATTCAGCCATGGCGATATCGAAGCAGAGTCGTCGGTCCGTGCGGACTCTGTTCCAACAGAGACAGGATTCGCCAAAGAGGAAAGTGTTGGTGATACCCCTGGAACTCACGCTCAGTCAAAATCGCCACCGTTCAATTTCTTGAGTCGGCGCATTGAGCCGATGGCTCTCAAATTCTACGAAGCCAACAAGAAGATCATTCCCGACTCGGCGGATTCGGAATCATGGATCCCAGGATATACATCGGAGGAATACGAACATGCGTACCTGAACCCTGCGATCACCGACCCCAGTCCTGTCATCTGGCTTGCTAGGGACGGATCTGGCGTCAGTGGATTGATGGTTGCCGAAAACAGAGAAGCGGGAATTCAGAGCACCGACGAACGAGCCGAGCTGGATGAGAAGAACAAGCTGGTTTGGAGCGAGGAGCAAGTCAAAGAGATGCCCTTGTGGCGAAGATGGGTCAGGTATTGAGCCGCGGGGGTTTGTGTCCATTCGACTGTTCTGATGTTTATGGGTGATAATTGATGGAAGGATAAATGGCAATAAGGGACAAAGGAAAAGAAATGGGAAAGGAATGGGACAAGGCAAAAGCAACCATGGTCTTTATGCACACTTGATGCTGTGCCTTGTTATGGGATACCCCTTGGGCATTGCGAGAATGTGGCAGAACAGTTCCGATAGGACTTGTTACGGTAATTAATTAATTCATTCATTTGTAATGTGTGCAGACTCGAAACCAAACAGTGATAGATGATGATATCTGATGGTAGTGATGGTAGAAGTTTTACTTGGATTGTGTAGTACATAATATCTGCGTGCATCCATCGACGTCATTTCCATCTCGAAATTCCGACGCGTCTTGCCCGTCACTCCAGCGTCGAGATCGCAAAGCTTGTTTCTCCCCATCGCAACGTGCTTCTACGCTCCTTGTGCATTGACTACATGCGTCTTGTAAATCTCTCTAATGACACTGCGACAATGACCACATAAACCAAGATCGCTCTTCAGGGCAACTTATTCTAGGCATGCCCCCAACATGGCAGACCCAGCCTACGAAGACGACGAGGACAATAATGACACACTCATTCGACGAGTGCTGGTCTGTATTTCCCATTGATGAACTGACATGTACTGGCCTTGTCTCACTCTGTGTAGTCGCTGGGCCTTGCTCCCATACGCATCCTGACCTCTCGCGCCGCCATCAAAGCCTACCTCTCGACCATCCTCTTTCTGGGCACCTCGACCGTCCTCCTCGCCCTCTCCTCCACCGCCTATGCCTTTTTCTACTACAACTACATTCCACAGATCAGTCTTGAACGCGTCCTCTACTTGCAGTATGGCACAGATTTCCCTCCGTATGCGACGGCGGCGCTGGACACAAACGCACTGGTCTCGCAGCAGGCGTACAATGTGGAGTTGATCCTGGACATGCCTCGCACCCCGACCAACCTGCAGGCCGGCAATTTCATGCTGGATCTATCCCTGTTGGGTTCCAAGGGCGTGCCGGACGCCGTGTCCTCGTGGTTGGGCAACATCACGGTCGAGAACGTGCTTCATCACTCGCGGCGGCCTGCGATCCTGCCCTACGCGTCCCCCATCCTGTCGCTCAGCCATACCGTGCTCCACCTGCCCTGGCACCTACTCAACTTCCGCGATCTGGATCGTTCTCGCTTGGTCGTGCCCATGTTCGAAATGTTGGTCTTTCCGAGGGGCGCGCGAAACGTGCCGACCCACGCCAGACTCGAGGTGCAAGCCAGCAGTGTTCTGCAGGTGTACGATGCGAAATTGGCGTTCAGGGCAAAATTCCAAGGCATGAGGTATCTCATCTACAACTACCGAGTGACGTCTTTTGTGGTCTTCACGGCTTTATTTTACGGCGTCAGTGTCACGAGCATGGCCTTGGGATGGGCCCTGATTTCGCATATGCTATCAGGCAGTGGTGCGAGGCAGGGGAGGATCAAGATGGAAGGACGAGATGGCATGACGACGAGCACGCCAATCAAGACAGAGCAGGGATCGTCCTCGGGCGCTGCCACCGCCAAAATCAAGACAGAAGACGAGGCTGAATCGTCCGGTCCGTTTGGTGGTGGTGGTCTGTCCCTCTCCAATATCTCGGACACGCCGACCCAGTTTCCCACTGGGAGAGGCCGACCGCCCTTGTCCTATCCCGGGCGTGCACCCTCCGAGACAGAAGGGAGAGAAAACGTCGAAGCGGAAGAAGACCGTCTGCGAAGGCCTATGGGGCCAGACGAGGCTGCCGACGACGAAGACGAAGGAGACTTTGAAGGGTCAGAGCTCCGCGGCAGGCGGCTAGAAGGTGACTCGGGGATCGGGACCAGCATGGAAAGCGAGCACGCTGGATCAGGGGTTGTGCGAAAAAGAAGTTCGAGAAGTTTGCCCAAGAGATGAAACCGAAGTCCGGACAGTGGCAGGAGGAAGAAGATTTCATGACCCTCCCGGAACTGTATATCATACCTACACATCTATATACCCGACGAAAGAGAGAAAAGAGCACAGTATTATCAACCAAGCGTCTATGAGCACCGTGCGAGTAGCTTTTTTTTTTTTTTTTTCCTCGTCTTGTCCTGTCTTGTTTTATTCCGCCTCATCTTGTCTCATCTTGTCCTGATTTATCTCGTCTAGGTAATCTAGTATCTATATCTATCGACTCCATCCTAAAGAATGGTCAAAGCTCTTGATTCTAGGAAAGGAAACCATTCGCAGGACAGTTCCGCCCACCAGCTGAGAAAGAATGCACAGCTCAGCTCGACTCGACTCGACTCGACATCCTACCGGCTCCTTGCAAAGCTCTGTGTGGGAAAAAAAAAGGCAAGTTGAAGAGCAATTTGTATGTTATAGCTCTCTCCACAGCCCCTCTCTCGGTGTCTCCGTCTTTGCCTGTGTCCCTCCCTCTCACTCCCGTGCTCTTCGCTGTCTCACAACTTGGCCATTCCCCTCCGACCCATCTGCTGCTGCCGCTGCGGCGCGCGCTCCAAGTCCCTGAAGCGCTCATACTCTGCCAGACACGCGGGGTTCCTGACGGTGGAACTCGTCTTGACGACCTGGCCGGAAATGACGCGCTTGACGGCGACCTCGACCTTTTTCCCGTTGACCGTGTAGGGGATCTCGCGGACCTGCTCGATGAATTTCGGCACGTGCCGCGGCGACAGGCCGTCGCGGATGGCGGTGCGGAGCTGTTCGACCAGTCCGGGGGTGAAGTCTGCGTCGTGGCCGGGGGCCATGACGACGAAGAGGAAGACGGTTTCGTCCTTGTCGTGCGCGCGCCGGCGCCCCAAACACAGCGTGTCCGAGATCAGCGTGTTGAACTGCGGGCCTTCGACGATGTTGTAGACCTCGGACGAGCCGAAGCGGATCCCGCTTGGGTTGAGCACCCCGTCGCTGCGGCCGAGGATCTGGAGGCCCTTGGTCAGAGGGTTCATGACGATGAAGTCGTGCTGGGCCCACACGTCGAGGTATTCTTCTCCGTCGGCAGCGGCGGTCTTGTCAGTACTGTTGTTACTGAGTGGAAACTTTTCAAAGTACGCCTCGCGGTATTTCTGGTGGTCCGGCGTGTCGCCCCAGAACTTGCACGGCATGCTGGGAAAGGGCTTGCGGCAGACGAGTTCGCCCGGGCGGCCCTCGGCGGCGCAGGACCGGCCCGTCTCGCTGTCGAGGATGTCGCAGTCGTGGCCCAGCGCCCACATCTGCATCTCGTTGGCGTAGACGGGCCCGGCCGGGTTGGTGGCGATCCACGACGAGGCGATGTCGGTGCCGCCGGCGACGCTGGATAGGTGGATGCGCCGCGGGAACGCGCGGTAGAACCAGTGGAACTGCTCCCCCGTGAGCGTGGCGCCCGTTGTCGTCACCAGCGCGAGGCGCGACAGGTCGAACGCGTCCGGCCGGATGCCCGATTGCTCGAGCTCGAGCAGGTAGCGGGGTGACGTGCCCCAGTACGTGGCGCGGAACTGGGCGCAGATGCGCAGCATCGTCGACGGGTCCGGGTGCAGCGCCCCGCCGTCGTAGCAGACGACCTTGGCTCCCACGGACAGGTGGCCGTTCATGACGTTCCACAGGATCCAGCTCGTCGACGAGAACTGGAACACGGTGGACCCTGGTCCCAGCCCGTTGTGTAGCAGCGAGATCTTCTTGTAGTTCAGCACCGACATGTGCGGCGACACGATGCACTTGGGCTCCCCCGTCGTGCCCGAGCTGTACACGATCACCAGCGGATGGTCCGTCGGCACGCGCGTGTATGTCAGCCTGTCACCGGCCCGGGCCTTGGTGAGGAATTCGTGCAGCGAAATGGCGCCCCCAACCGGCTTGATGTAGTCCACATGCTGCTGCCGGTGCGGGCGGTGGCACGTGGGCACGAAGACGAGGCGCGGCTTCGCTTTGGTCGCCGGCAGCGCCTTGAGCACCTGCATGACTTTGCCCAGCATCGACGGCCGCGTGCCACGCACCGCCACGTCGACGTCGGCGAACAGCCACTTGGGCTCGACCTGGGCGAACCGGCTGACGCAGCCCGAGACCCCAAGGTCTGGGGACACGGAGGTAAAGATGGCGCCTATGGACGCGGTGGCCAAAAACAGCACAATGATCCAGACCGAGTTGGCCATCAGCCCAGCCACGACGTCGCCCTTCTTGATCCCTCGACGCACCATGGCCGAACGCGCCACGCGCACCAGCTCCGTCAACTCAGCCCAAGTGATCTCCTCTGGGTCGTCAAGGCGATTCTCGCGTAGCCCGACCAGTGCGACGGCATTTGGATTCGCGGCCGTGTTAGGAACCAGCACGTTCTCCGCGTAGTTGAGTCGGAGGCCCGGGAAGAAGGTCGGAATGTCACGCAGGCGTGCTTTCGGGTTGTATGCCAGTTTCGTGTGCTTGGGCAACGAGGGTATAATCCCGCAGTACTCGTACAGGTCGATCCAAAACTGGTGCGGGTTCTGCACCGTCCAACTGTGCAGCTCATGCGAGTCACGCAGCGATTGCGAGAAATTTGTGTTGACGTGCTGGCGGTACCGAGACATGGGCGGCGCTTCCGGGTCTGCTGGTGTCCATAGTGGCGTCGGCGCGGATGTGCTGTTTGAGTCTGGACTGGAACTGGGATTTTTATTCCTAGATGGGGTCGAAGACGACGAGGATGTTCCTGGACTGTCAAGTGTCCTTTTGGCTTGATCCCGATACTGCTTGGAGCAGTACTTCATCGGCAGTCCGACTGCATTACAGGACGCTGGTGACTCTGACGGCATTATGGCTTTTAGTAAGAAGTCCCGCTTCTCTCGATCTCTTTCAAGGCGTTCTACCCGTTGGGTTTCTTTCTGTGTCGAACAACCTTGACCGCCAGCTGCGAACCAGAACCTCGATCAAGTAGGAGCTGTTGTGTTCTTGGTGTGCGGCTTCTTTCTGGTAATCTCCGAGCAATCAATTAGATACGCCAATTGCACAATCACTGCCGTTGTAGCTGTATTGTCTTTACCCTTGTCCTGTAGTCTCACGAAAGGCCTTGGAACGATTATATATCCCTCTTCTGTTATTGGCTCTATTGGGCTCTCCCTCTCTTTTCATAAATGAAATAAATCACAAGGAAATCAAGCTCAAAAAGAGGGTGGCATTGGAGTAAATGAATGGGAACGAGGACGGATAAAGCCCGGATCGTTTGGAGCTACATATGTAGGTAAGAAATAGTATAGCCCGAGCATTCGTTGAGGAAATAGAGAGAGGGTACGGATCGAGCTCGGGCGCCACGCATATACTCCCACTACCCATGTTGGAGAGAGCCTCGGCAATGAGTAACAAAGTTGTGTGCGATACCCGCGACAGCAAGGCTGAGGATTGGGGGAGAAGCGGTGGAAGACATTAAGTTGGGGTCATTGGAGGGTGTGACAAGGCTGAGTCATGCTTGGCAAGGCTGCGTGCGGGGTGTCCAAACTGCGACAGACTGCGAACCTTCACTCTGATATCAAGGAAATAACCGCTCTGTTTATACGTCCTAGAATATATCCACGCTATCATTGCTGCAGACTATGTCTCTCACATCGGTCTACTGAATCACCTCTTCCACTTCCCCGTCTTGATTTGCAACTCAGGCAGCCGCAGCGCCAGACTGCTCATCACAACACTTACACTACTCGCCGCCATGGCGATACTCGCCCAAACCGGGTTCAGTCTCCACCCACCATGGTGCTCGTTCGCTCCAATAGGAAAGAATACCCCTGCGGCAACGGGGACCAAGCACAGGTTGTACACCGCTGCCCAGGCAAAATTCAACTTGACTCGTAAAAACACCCGTTTCGCAAGTCTAACGAGCGAGAGGATAGTGTTGAGCTCGGAGTTGAGGAGGATGAACGATGAAGTGGTCATTGCCACGTCAGAACCGGAAGAGAGTGCAATGGACACATCGGCGGCAGATAGAGCAGGGGTATCATTTGTGCCATCACCCACGAACCCAATGATCTTGCGACCATCCTTTCGATCCGTGGGCTCGCTAGAGGATAAGCCTTGCAGCTCGCGGATGTAGCTGGCTTTGTCCTGTGGAAGGACACCTGCACGCACGTTGCTGGCGGGAATTCCAAGCTGGGAGGCGATGGCCAAGGCCGTAGTTTGATTGTCTCCTGTGCACATGTGAATATCGAGCCCGACGCTGCGTAGAGATTCGAGTACTTGGGGTGCCTCAAGGCGGATCGGGTCTGCGATTGCAAAGACAGCCAAAGCCTGATAAGATGACGATGACTTGGCCTTCTCAGCGTCTTCCGGCACCTGTCGAACAGCAAAAATAGCGGTTGAATGACCGAGAGATTGGTGCTTCTTGAGTATCGGGTTGAGGTAGAAGTCCTCGCCTTTGATCGTTACGACGACTTTATCTTTGGTGGTAGAGAACTCCGAGTCCGAATTTTCAGCCGGACAAAGGTTTTGTAAAAGTCTCTCGTTTCCGATGGCAATCTCATATCGTGAGGCAGAGGAATCGCCTTTGACCAGAAATCTACCTGTCATTCCCTGCCCGGGAATCTCTTTGATCTCCTCAAGGTCAATCGAAACACTTGTCGAGTTCTCCGCGCAGTAGCTTGCGACAGCTTTTGCGATTGGGTGCGCACTTGCCTCCTCGAGCATGCGAGATGACGCTAGGATAATGTTCTTGTCAAGTATCGCGTCACTGCTTTGACTGTTCTGGATACACTCAAAGTCGGTGACCCGCATTTGGCCCTCAGTCAACGTACCGGTCTTGTCGAAGACAATAGCGTCCAGTCGCGATGCCTCCTGGAATGCCTCACCACCACCTTGTACGAGAACGCCTTGTTTCGCGGCCAATCCACCCCCAACGAAGAGTGCAGTGGGCGCGGCAAGGCCAATGCCACACGGGCAAGCCACCACGAAGACGGCGATGGCGAACTCAAGAGACCAGAACGGCCAGCCTCCCTGCGTCACATCAAGCCATGCCTGAGGAAGGGTTCCGGACAAGCCCAAACCCATCCAGATTACCCAGGTTGTGATGGCAATGAGCGTGATTACTGGGACGAAGTACCCTGTGAGGATATCTGCAATGCGCTCAATGGGTGCTCTTTTCGCCTGGCCTTCGCGGACAACGCTTACAATCCGGTCTAGCATTGATGTGCCACCAACGCCGGTCACTCTAATCCGTACAGGGTCGGATACATTCACAGATCCCGTAAAGACCTCGTCGCCAGCAGTCTTCGTGACTGGCTTCGATTCTCCGGTTAGCGAGCTCTCATCGAAGAGGAATGTGCCTTGGCTAATGATGACGCCGTCAGTTGGGGGAGACGTTCCGTGAGGGATCTGAACAAGATCGCCTGTCTCCAGCTGATCAACGGGAATGGTTTCGGTGCTAGCGGACGCATTGTCGCTCGTGTCCTCTTTGACAAGCAGAGCAGTTGAAGGTCTGAGATTGCTGAGCATCGCCACAGCATCACCAGTCTTGGTCTTGCTGTAGGCCTCCAGGAAGCGACCAATCAGGATGAAGAAGGTGAGGAATGTTACTGTGTCGAAATAAGTATCCGAGGAGCGATGCTGGTCCATGTCGGTTGATTTGGTCGTAGCATCCATGATGAGAACAGCCAACGAGGAGAAATAGGCTACCGAAGCTCCTGCACTGATCAGAAGATTCATGCTGCCAAACCGGTAAAATCGACGTAGAAGGGGTATTTTGCTGTTCGGCCTCCACATCGCTTTGATTTCCTTGTATGCGCGGGAATGGAAGAGATCTGTGCCAAAGAACATGACCGGTGTGGTCATGAAGAAAAGTGCCCACTCGAGCCGCATAGCTTGACCGGCTAAAATGGGCTGTTCCCACCAGCGCCTCGTAGAATTGGATTTTGGAACCAAGCTCATGTACACGACCCCGACGATGAAAGTGGGGATAGCCACGATGCCGGTGAACAGTAGCCGCCAAAGAATATGCTTCATTTCTTTCCGCTGTAATCGTCGCGATCGCTCTTCTAGCGTTGGCGGATGATATACACTTGCCTTCAAAGCATCATGCGACGCATCGATGGCGGCTATGAAGCTGCGTACATTGACTTGGCGTGAAGGCCGGTAGGTGACGGTGATGATCGGGTCTTTCAGCGTGGGTGGTTGAGTTATGGTATAACTCGGTCCGTCAACACCTGACAGTGCAGAGTGGATAGCGGTTGTGATATTCTGAGGACAATGTTCACAGTACATGCCGTCGACCTTGAGCTGGACTGTCCTCTCTTCACTTGGGGCCCTGGCCGACTTGGCAGTGCCCTCTAATTTGACAACAGACGCTTCATAACCCAGGTCGTCAATCTTCTCCAGTATTGCTTCAAGATGTTGTTTGCCGCGGAAGATCACAAGGCCGCGGTTCCCAACGAGGTCAATGTTGACATCTTGGACGAACGGAAGCTCCTCAAGTCCCCGGGAGATCGTGCCGACACAACTTCCACAGGTCATCCCTTCAATGCTGAGGGTAACTTTATGGCTCTCGTGTTCATCGTCAGAGAGAGGCTTGTCCTGCACTAATGGTTGTATATCATCGATGACGGCCTCATATCCTAGCTCTTCAATTGCTTCGGCGAGTTTGTCCGAGTTGCTTTGAGGTCCTTGATAAACCACTCTTGCATCATTCCTCATTAGATTGACATTTACTGAATCCACAAAATCTAGACTGTCAAGGCCTTTTGTGATTGAACTTGTGCAAGAGGCGCATGTCATACCGCCAATCGATATGGTGGCAACATAGTGGCAAGGTGCACTCTCTTCTCCTGCGCCATCGACATTTTTGCTTGACAGCTTGTGTTCTGCCAGTGTGTCGTCTGAAATCGCGGCCTCTTCGTCGGTAGATGTCTGTTTCGGATGCGCTTGCCGGCGGCGCAGTCGCATGAGAGAAGACCATGATAGTTTTGGCCTTGATCGTTGGCCTTTTTCGCGTTGACACGCCTTGCAGTTTTCTATGTGTTTGCGTTGGGCACGGGACATGAGCCAGCGGGATCGAGAGAGCTGGGCGTTTGCGGGGCGTGGTGACACATCGGAGTCGTGAGACTGAACCCCATCGGCTCGGATGGTTGTGACATGCTCAACTTCGAAAGCTGACTTGATTAGTTCACTGACAATGACTTCTCGCGTGGAGTCCTGTGCATGTTTGACGCGGATGGTTTGGTCAATAAGTGAGACTTGGATGGACTGGATTCCTGGGATTCCATTTAGTGTATCTTGAACATAGGACACGCAAGACGGGCAGTGGATGTTTGACACTAAGAACGTGGAGGTGTAGGCCATGGCTGGATGAAGGAGCAAAGAGACATGTAACACTCAAGGCGTCTGGTCGGTCCGGAAATTGGCAGACAGTACAATGGCTTCGTGGAGGAAGAGATGAGATACAACAAGGACAGAAGCAGACATATTGAAGTGGCTCAGTCTTTATCCTCCCATATGATATTGAGAGGTTTGTGCGTACAGCGATTCAGCAGATTTCACTCGAAAACCTTCAGTTAGATCAAACATGGCATTGAGTTGATGATAGGTCGAGAAGTCGTGGATCATGCAGTGGATGAGAGCAGGATGCGCGACTTGTGCGTTAAATGACGACGGAGTGCAAGAATGTCATAGAAATGGTGGAGAAGGCACGCACCAGGATGACACAGGCCAATCACGTGCATCCGATCCCGAGATGATCACGTGTAGTTAGCAATCCTGCGACCTCACTTCTAAAAACGAAACTAGTCGCTTTCTTCTCGAACTCGACATTCCACCAACCAACAATACCAGGTCTAACGCTCAGCCATTTCGTCTCCCCTATTGAAATTGACAGATTGTCAAACATGGAGCTGATGTATTTTTGATGCCAGACGTTGCTGCTGTGTATCCATCTTTCCGCCTGGCTTCTTCCAATCAAGACCCATAACCAAATGTCGAACTGAACTCCTAGCAAATCGCGGTTTCAGCTGGCATGGCCTCCCCACCGAGGAATACCTTTGTTCCTTCCGACTCCTTCAATGATCCTAAGAGTCATGTCACACATGATGACAACAATAACAACTCGACGACACAATCCAACTACTTTAATATCCCCGCTGCTGCTCCAGCCTTAAGTTTCAATGTCACACACGACAATCTGAATGGCAGTGTCGAGTCGCTGGCTCCTCAACACGTCGCCAAGCAGCCTTCTCCACACGTGAGTCTCAATCCAGCATCTCACTCAGGCTCGGGACCTCGCCAGGGATCATTCTCAGATATCTTACCTCACGGTCATACTCCACCTCCGCTTATCAACTCAAACATACCTACTTTAAGAACCGGCATACCCAGCCTTCCCGCAGATGTCAACGCCGTTCTCATCGATGCGCAGACCAAAACCGACCCTAACTTTCGATATTCCCTACCGTCTTTGAGCATGAGTCAGACACAGAACCTCTCTTCTGTTAGTAACGCCAACGACGACGAAAATGACACAATAACTATCGTGGATAGTGGTGCGAACCACAATAATGTTAGGGATGGAAATACGTCGACAATAGCAGTCAATCAAAACAACGTATCAGGCAGAAACAAGCAATATATTCTTTCCGACGGTTCTGTGGTCTCTGGTAAGGGGCTTGGTAGAGGCAGACCAGGCGTCAAACGTGGGCCACGAAGCATCAGAACTCCAGATGCTGACCCGAGCTCACCCCAAGTGGTACCCACGAACGCATCGGACCAGCCTTACCACTTTGGACCTCCTAGCAAGAAAAGAAAGAGTGGTGTGTCCGAGACGTCAGAGTCTAATTTACGTGCATCGACTTCAAATTCCACAGCTACCCCATCTCGAGAGAGCTCCGAAGAATACAACCCTTCTGCGCATACTCGCTCCGGAAGGCCAGTCCAGAAGCCTGTCTCTCTCGGCGACGGTACTCCTGTGCAAGCGAGTCCCTCAAGAAAACCGTCTCGAAACAACTCTACAGCCCATACGATGTCGAATTCTCCTGCGTCCACTAAAACTCACCCAAAGATCAAACGCAGAGTTTACCGGGGACGTGAGCAGTTTGCGCTTTGTGAGCATTGTTTGCGCGGGCATGGTCCTCCGGGAAATGTGATTGTCTTCTGCGATGCGTGTAACAAGTGCTGGCATCAACGCTGTCATGAACCCCGGATCTCTACACACACGGTTACTGACTCCAAAGCTGAGTGGTTCTGCTCTGAATGTGACCGTATTCTGCATGGGAAAAAGAAGGATAAGAAGATAAACGGGAAAGGAAGCACCCAGTCCGCAGTTGTGGCATCTCCCGTCGTCGAGCCAAAACCCACTTTCACTGGGCCACGAGTAGGAGGTCGTTTCCTCCGCCTCGAGCAACGACAAGCGTACTTGAAAACGCTTTCCCGAGATGATCTTGTGGCATTAGTTCTTCAGGCTTCAGATCTGGCACCGGACTTGCCTTTGTTCCAAACCCCGGCGCCACCACCAGTGGCAATGCCCCAAGCGCAGTTCACTTCTACCTATGTAACACCAGTCTCGAAAGTTCCTTCCTTTGGCGACAAGGATGCTGGCGAGGACCATGAGGTAGATGAAGGGTATGACGGCTACTTTGATGAGCTCGCCGCACTATATCCCAAACCCGGAAATGGAGTGCACCTGCCACCAGAGAGCGAGGATTTACATATTTTGCTGGAGGGCAAAGGCAGTAGAACTTTTAGTCACTGGGTGAAAGGAACGCAGGGAAATCTGTTCAGCGGGTCCGGGAACATTTCTTCGACAATCTACTGATGCTTAGGGCAGACGTGGTTAGCAGTGTACAGGTTCTGGTGAGCAGACTCAGATCGTTCATCAATATCACTTCCCAAGTGTTTGAAGTCCCACTGTTCCAATTCTCTAAGAATAGGGACTACGGATATCTTCTCCGGTACTCGCTATAGTTGCCTTCTTACATATTGTGGCTTATCCCAAGTCCCGACGACGTTCCTCGTCTGTCTGAAACCCTCGCGTCGGCTGATCCTGTCTCTGACCACAGACGGACTCGCAAATATCCTCTTCGAACTAATGTCCCGAGGGTCCTTTCCTCAGAATGGTACAGTTCTCTTGTGCATGACCCAATCCCTGGTCTGTAGAGGAATAGCGAATTCATTTCGCGGCTGGCGTCTTCCGAAGCGACCCGCGGGAGAGGGGGATCTCTCTGCATCACGCTATAGATTCATGGAGGGCCACGTCTGCGCATAGTATTAGGACGTTGGTTTTGAGATGGAAAAGGTATCATATGCTTACTGTTTCATGGTTGGAGCTTTGTCGTTCTCGTTCGCCAGTAGGTGACAATCATGCAAAGGTCAAGAGCCCCGGTGATAACGTGTCCGAGTCGTGGCTATGTGGAGCTGAATGGCTGCAGTTGAAGCTAGTAGACAGAGAGCTGAATATAAATTGACAAAGGTTCACTCTCAGAACGTGAAATCTCAATGTCACGAGGATCACTGCGGTGGCCTTCTGGCTGCTCGCGGCTGGCCGCAGTGCCGTGGGGAAAAAAAGGCAGAACCTCTTGCCTCACCTTCATTCAACGACGATGTGTCACGCCCTAGCCGCCTCCATGATTCCAGAAGACTCACTGATTCTTCTAGATTCACAAGCGAAAGTGATTGTTGCGCGCCAAGACGAGATCCGTCAATTGAGCTCGCACGAAAGATCCCCGTCAAGAAATGAAAGATGCCGCGACCTCTTCGTCCTTGCCATTCACAGTTTCGTGGCATTGAATCTACCCTTCCTCCTTGCTGCGCACGATTTTGCGGCGCAGATGACCTCAATGCTGCGACTTCATCATGGCCGCGACCGTGAAGTCTTATATTTCCGCCTCCTCAGCAGGACAAAGCCTTAGCTGTCTCTCTGTGAACGTCCTTTCTCCAGAGCCGCGCCCTCGCCTTCCCTTCACAGATGATGGTCCTGGGAAGCTCTCGATATTTGGTCCGCGCCACGATAACGACCATGAAGACTACAGAAAGATCAAGATCCTCCCAACTGCCGATGAAATCCTCGCCGTCTATCGACCAACGTTCATGCCCAAAAAAGATCTCTACACACAACACTTCCTGGAAAACGGGCCTGGCAGGCTATTGGATACGCTTTTCAGGCAACTTCGATATGACAGCATTGAAAGCATTCGGGACATTTGCTACTCAGCCTCACAAGCGGCTTTCCTGGGCACCGGTACCGCTCCTGAAGATCATGTTGTCCGTCGCGAGACCACGTCTGGCAACCGATATTTTCTTTACAACAATATTAAGGTCGAAGAATTGCTTTCCCATGAACAGATGGCGATGACGGTCCGTGTCAGTTACGACTGCCCTCTGTTCATGAGGGCGCAGAAGCTTTACCACTCCGGCCGTTTTCAAAAAGGCATGCTTGTTGCATTGCTACAACTGGACCATGCCACCATGAAGTTGGCTGTCTACTTCCTCGAGGTTCATCAAGCGCAAAGCACCTTTTCTATGGAATGCTTTGACGGACGTGGCACTCGAGCAGCAGTCCAGCTCTCTTTCCTCCCAACAACCACCCCCGATGACGTCCTTCAACTCTGCCGCCATGCACTGGGTCTTTGCGGAGGAAGCGAACTCTACCTGATAGAATTTCCCAAGGTTCTCTTCGCCGGGCTTTACAACTGTCTCAGGCGGCTGCAACAGATGAGAGAGTCAGACTTCGCTTTCAAGAGCTATGTCGCTCCTGATAAGCATCCCACCGAGGCCTGGTCTGCCGCACAGCTGCACTCTATCGCCGGTATCCCCTCCCATTTCCTATGTCCCCCTCCTTCTTATGCCCTCTCATCAGAATTCTTATACAATCTCACGAAGCTTGTCCCACCGACATGCCCAATTGCCTCTGCGTCGGTAAAGGAATTGTCGCGGCCCTCCACTCTAGAGATCTTGAACCGCGAAACCACCCTGGATGAAGGTCAAGCGGTAGCCTTTAGAGACAGTCTCCTGCGGGAGTTTGCATGCACACAAGGTCCACCTGGATGCGGCAAGACTTTTCTTGGTGTCCAGCTGGCTAAGACGCTTCTCGACTCCCGCACGTCACTGAAACCTATCCTGCTGGTGTGTCTCACGAATCATGCCCTGGACAGTTTTCTTGCCGACCTGCGAGATGCTGGTGTCTCCAATCTACTTCGAGTCGGTTCCGCTAGCAAGGAAGCCTGGACCGGGGCAATCAATCTGCGCAACTTGCGACGAAAGACACGATTGACTAAAGAGGAGTCCCAAATGCTGCATGCCCATGACCTTCAGAAGAAGCTGCTGTTTGCAGAGCTCGATTCATTGTGCAAAGGTATGATCATCTTCCATTCGTCCTGTCTGAGCGGAGCTAAGTACAAACAGCACTTTCTTGCCAAACGCACACTGCGACCCCTCCTTGGCACTATATCGAGGACGTTCTACGCCTTAAGTACCCCAATATACATTCTCAGTTCTCGACCAATTCTCGCGTCTTGCTTGCGCATTCCTTTACCTTCGAATACTGGTCAGAAGGCGGAGACTTGAAGACCATTCGGGATTTACACCTTGAACTTGCTCAGAGGTTGGCCCAAACCTCGAACGACAGTGCAAAGCCTACCCAAGAAAATGTAGATGGAACACTTCTTGACATATCTTACCATGCCGAGCTCCAAAGTGCAAACGCTGGAACGTCTAGCGTCTGGAACCTGCCTTTGAGCGAGCGTCAACTTATGCTTCGGCGCTGGGAAGCGGAGGTAGACAAAGAAAAGTTTGCGAACAAGATGGCCTCACTGTACTCTGAATTGCAGGGATTCACAGACAAAATCAAGACAATCACCAATGGGCGCGATGGGCGAGTCATGTCGTCTCAAAATATCATCGCGATGACCACCACTGCATGCGCCGCCCGCTGGGAGCTTTTGCGATCACTTGATCTCGAGATCCTCATCTGTGAAGAGGCTGCGGAAGTCATGGAGGCACATGCACTGTGTACTTTGCTCCCTTCATTACAACATGCAATCTTCATTGGCGATCCCCAGCAGTTGCGGCCTGAGACAAATGAACAGAATTTAAGCCTTGAGACTTCAATCGGGAGCGACTATCGATTGGATGAGTCTTTGCTGGAGCGAATGATGTTCCCTCATGATCGGTCGGCATCGATAATACCATCAAGCCACTTGAGGGTCCAACGCCGCATGCATCCTGAAATTGCAAACATCACTCGCTTGACCTATCCCTATCTCACGGATCACGAATCTACACTCCAACGCTCGCCGACTCATGGCCTTGCACACAGAGTCTTTTGGTGGGACCATCGAGTTCCGGAACTTGAATCGGACGATTTAAAGTCACATGCTAATTTGCACGAGGTTGAGATGGTTGCCTCTCTTGTCGAATATCTGCTTCGTAGTGGTGCGTATTCGCAAGGAGAAATTGCAGTCTTAACTCCATATGCGGGCCAGCTGGTGAAACTGTACGGGCGGCTGGCAACAAACTGCAATATATGGCTTTGCGAAAAAGACAGAGAAGCATTACTTAGTGAGGAGGCTCTTAGCCTGGGTGACGAAGGCAGGGTCACCAAGGATGAAGTTGCGATCGTCGACATGCTCAGGATCGCAACTGTTGACAACTTTCAAGGCGAGGAGGCGAAGGTTATCATACTCAGCACGGTCCGAAGCGGAGGTAATCCCGGCTTCTTGAAGACATTGAATCGCATCAACGTCGCGTGCAGCAGGGCTCGTAACGGCTTTTACATTGTGGGCAACTCCCAGACCTTGTCTCAAGTACCCAGGTGGAGGGAAGTCATCAACGCTCTCGATGGAAAGATCGGAGGTTCGATAGTGACGCACTGTCATGTGCATACCGCCCACCGTCATCTTGTTGAGCACCCAGAAGACTTTCGAAGCGTCCCAGAATGCGCAGCGCTGTGCGGCATGGCTTTACCCTGCGGTCACGAATGCAAGGAGAGATGTCACCCACCTCAGCTCCATTCCCGCCTATCCTGTCAAGAGAAATGTACCAGGGTCTTCCAACCGTGCGGACACAAATGTGAAAAACTCTGTTTTCAGAAATGCGGAAAGTGCACGACTACCACCGGCGAAGTTACCCTTAGCTGCGGACATCCTGGAAAGAGCCTCTGCTCAGGAGACACTCCTGAGTGCAAGACTGTCATAGACAAAAAACTTCTCAGCTGTGGTCATTCCATAAGCATCTTTTGTGGTGAAATTACTGAGGACAAGAGCGTATGCCAGCAAGCATGTTGTGCGCCACTTTCCTGCGGGCATCTTTGCAGTAGGAAATGCGGTGTCTGCAAAAACAGAACCTCTGACAAGCATGAACCTTGCACGCATGTATGCAATCGCGTGAAAGTATGTGGCCATCACTGCAAGGAGACTTGTCATGTCGGAAAATCATGCGCAAAATTGTGTGTTGAATCCTGCTTGAAGAGGTGTGAGCATGGACCTTGCAGGAACCGGTGCCACGACATCTGCGACCCTTGTGTCCAGCAACCAGCCGTCGGTTGTGAACACGAAACACCATTGGAAATCCTTTGTTGTCTACCCAATCTGTCATTGCCCTGCTGTCGGCCCTGTCCTCGGACTCTGGAATGTGGCCACGATTGCCCATCGGTTCATGGCGAGGTGTGCCCTCCACCAGAGCTCTGCCGGGAATGCTTGAATGGGGTAAGAGGCCCAAGAGTACTTTATTCTCCAGCATGCGGACACATGACAGATATTGCTCATCTGGATAGCCTCAATCTCCATGGCATTTACAATGTCGACGTTGGGGGGTCTATTGTATCAATCAACTCTGAGCTGAGGTCAAATGATGTCAAACCGCCAGAATGCTGGTGTGGAGTGCCTCTGAAGGATATTCGCCGTTACCAAATCCACAGGAAGTTGGCTGACTTGAAGCACAATTTTGACCTTCTTCTCGCCAAAATGGGCCGCCGGATAGCTTCCTTCGCCGCTGCGGTTGACATGCAAAGAAAGCAGTTGGATCAGACGTTGGAGATGTGTATCAAAGAAATCAGACCCAATCCCCTGGCGGCGAAAGCGAATGCTGGTCTCGTCCTTCGTCGGAACCAAGAGATACTCGATCTCCAGAAGAATATCATCAGTTTCCGAAGCAACGTTGTGGATCGATTTCAGAGCAGCATGATGACATTACATGGGAATTTCCCATATGTCATCCCCTCGTATAATCTGGGGTTCCATCTTCACCTTGACGTCTTGGAGTTCAGGGTGGTCGTTGTGCGCCTCTCTGATGCACTGAGGCTTTCAAATCAGCTTCTTTCGCTTCCAGACCCCTCTTTCGGCGTCCAACGTCTGGGCCTCAAAATTCTTCAGTTCGTCTACAAAGAATCAATTTCATGCGTAAGATATTGCCAAGGTGCATTGGACAATGCTTTGACTGATACATATCCGTCACTTGAGGCTGAAATCAAGCTGCAACAGCTCCAGTTCATGCTCTTTGTGAAATCGACAAGAGCTCAGCTTTCTGAGCTTGGTCATCCTGTTGACGACGACTGCACGGACGTGGACGATGAGACGGTCAGAGCTGGCTTGGACGCGGTAACTGCAATTTGCCGCCGATCTCCCGGGACTTGTGCCCTGTTGATGGCGACTGCACAGGATATTATCATGGCATTCGAGCGTTTCGATGGTTCGAAACCGCCATCTATCCCGGAGATCAAAAATGACTACACACGGAAGATCGAGAACCTTTGGAGGCGTCACCAGCTCGGATCCCTGACCATGTGCCATCAATCTCATCCCTACTCTGCCACGACATTCTCTGACGGCTGTCCCAATTGTGGAAAACAGGCTCAGCTATCAGGTGATGAAATTTTCCGTGAATCTGGAAAACATCTCTTCGAGAATCAGTTCCTACAATTCATGCACTCCAAGTCTGGGAAGTCTCAAAAGCTAGAACATCTTGACCTGGAAAGCCCAAAATCAACTATGCAATCGGCTGAGGAGCCCGACTCGGAAGAAATTGCTGCTAATCCAGGTGGGACAGAGTCGACAGACGAAGAACGATTCCTGGGAGCAATGAGGCGAGCGCTTCCTCAAATTGATGGTGGAGTCCCTTCCAACGCGGTGAAATTGTCAAGCGAAGCAGCTGTTTGCCAGAAAGCTGCTACAAAAGAGGATGTTGGGGGAGGCATGAAGACAAAGCTGGAGGGTGGGATAGGTTCGCAACAGCCAATTCCAGCTGAGCCTCAAAATGAGCTTGCAATGGAAGAGAAGTCTCTTGTGGCAGTGAGAAAAGATGGGTGAAAACTGAAAAGAGGAAGAGACGGCAAAATGCAGGGAGGAACATGTGAAAAAAAAAGAGAAAAAGTACCTGTGGCATAGACATCATCTTAGAACACGAACAGATCGAGCCGATAGAGATATTGGTATTATTGAATAAACTCTGGACAACCTTTACAGCTCTCTCCCCTTCTCCTAGAGTAAGAGTGTCAAAGCCGTGTCTGTGTGATGGATAGACAAGATGTGGTCGTCGTTTCAACGGCCATCAGGATATGTATTTTTACTGATTTCCTTGGAAGCGGCCATGAGGACTAGATTGCGTCTTCTTTGGAAGGTCGGCGAAAAGGTGACCCTGGCTGTCTACCTTTTGTATGGAAAGTCTGACCAAGTCACATACACAAGGCACGAGCAATCCGCCCATGCACGGTGGGAAAGGTCAATGGATTCTGGAAACAACGCCGTGCATCCCATGTGCAGCGAAGGAGGATGGATGGATGGATGGTTGGATGGATGGATGAACGCCACCCAAGTTGAGCGGGTGTTTCAGCTCAGCTCAGAGCCTGGATTTCGGAGTGGCCGCATGTGTCACGGCAGGTCTGGGGTCGACGGCCGGCGCCGTCCACCACGGATACATGACGGGGGCGTCCTTGTCGAGTTGGTCCTGGAAGTCTGGTTTCCCAGAGGCGAAGAAGGCGCGTTTGGCTTCGGCGTGGTCCCTATATATATACACATACACAGTACGTGTCACAATTGGTCAGTGGAACGGTCTTGGCTTGTTTCGGGGGTTTTTACTATATCACTTTTTATGCAGAAGGCTGGAGCAGGGAATGAGAGTCTCAGGTCCGCGGGGGGCCCCCGGGGGGGGGGGGGGGCGACTTACCTGGAAGCGAATTGGTGGGCCAGCAAGGGACTGTCGACGAGGTGCGCGGCCTCTGCAGACCCGGGGTTGCGCCAGATGAGCTGGCGGTTCAGGTGGATGGCCGTGGTGCTGACACGCTCGATGAGTTCCTCGGCCAGCTGCACGGCGCGCGGCAGCACGTCCTTGGGTTCCGGGACCAGCTCGGAGAAGATGCCGTCCAGGGCCTTGGAGTCGGCCGGGTACGTGGCCCCCGTGGTCAGGAGGTACGTCGCGCGGCCGTAGCCGACCATGCGTGGCAGGAAGAAGGAACTCGCCGACTCCATGGTCAGGCCGATGCGGGAGAAGGGGAACCCGAAGCGCGATTTGGGGCTTGCGATCCTGTAGAGCCATTGTTTTTCTCTTTAGCACTCTTGTATCATATGCATTTCGGACACGCGCACACAGTGAACAGGAGAACAAGGGCGAAGGAGGGCGGGGTTGGGTTGGGATACGAGAGCACATTACCTGATCCCTGCTGCAAGCGTGGCCGTCATAGCAATGCCGACGGCCAACCCGTTGTATGCCACGATCACCGTCTTGCTGCAGTTGTACATGGACAACGCCAGCCTGCCACCCGTGTCTCGAATGTCCGTGATGGGGATGTCCTTGGGCGGAACGGCGTCGAGGTTCAAGTCAATGCCGGCGCTGAACGCCCGTCCCGCCCCTGTCAGAATCACGACCTTGACCCGGTTGTCGCGATCGACGACCCGGAAAAAGGACTCCAGCCCCGTTATCATTTCGCCAGTGAAGGAGTTGAGTTTGTCAGGCCGGTTCAGGCTCACGATGAGGATGGGGGTCACCCCAGGAGCAGATTCGGGGTGGTTGGTGACTCGCACATGGCTGTCTGCCGGGGTCGTGTATGTCTCGGGTATCTGGATCGTTGAGCTTGGTGGTGCTTGCATCGTGTCAGACGTTGTTGGTACAGCTGTAGAGAGTCACTGAGGACCTGGGGGAACGGATCCCCTCGTCGATATAAATCACCGTCAAGTAACCATCGATGGTTGTGGATTCTCCGGGACACGAACCGAAAACACCGCGGGAACGTTTAGTAATCGCAAAGGTTGGACCCCCAGGCCAGATCCTGAATAGTAAGCCAGTCGTTTTCTCACCTCGGCCGAGGAGCAGACGTTCTCGACTTGGTGATCGCCCCGGGACGGGCTCGTGGCACTGTACTGACCATTTTCGGCAAAACAAGAGAGTCTGAAGGATTGCAGGTATTAATATGGAGCGGATGTGCCGATTGCTTTTGTGTTGGCGGGCTGAAGCAGACGGAAGGATGTAATGGGATTCTGGTATCAGTACAGAGATAGATCACTATCTTTCTGTTTCGTTAGCAGCATCATCCTAATTTCTTTGTTCAGCAAGCATATTTCTGTGGCGTTGCTGGGAGGTCCTTGGAATCGGGAGATGTCATAACAGCTGAAGTTATGCCAAGCACATATACCATTAGAAGACTAGCGCCTTGGCGGACAACCAGTGACGGACAACGTGCGAGGCGATAGCGCAGCCTTGTCATTCATTGCAAGCCTTGTGAGTCAAGGGCCGTCTGGGAAGTCATTCGATCCCAATGACAATCGTGTATGTCGTTTCTACCGTATCTTCGCCCAAGAACGGAGTTTCGTTCCTCTAACTCATTGATGGATTGATCTGGGCGACGATCTATCATCACCCCCATGGCGAGGGTGACGGAGAAGGAATGCATGCCAAAGCACAAGGTACATACAGTATGTAGTCTACTTGGCAACGGCACGGTCTGTGCATCTACATAACTTTTAGAACAACAAACAGAAAGAAGCACCTGTCCCAGTTCTAAAATGGATCAGTTCCCCATCATTTTCCCCATCTATCCAACGACGCCTGCGCCACCCGGCTCTTTTGGTTCACAAATATATTCCCACATAACCCCATTGCATGCTCATGTTCTGCGACAAATGGTCGCAAAGATTTCTGGCTCAATAACAAACTCACAATAGAGAGGCTGGACTGTGTCTCTATCATGTCGTCAAATAGTAACAATATGATAATTCTGAGAAGGAAGGGCAGGATATCTTTTTCTGGTCAGAAGCTCACTTGGAACTTCGGGTGGGTTCGGAGCCAGGCGCCGTATTTCATGAAGAAGAATGGCAGAGGGGCCATTCCCAGCGCGATGAACCCGAGCAGGCTGTTGCCCCAACCCAGCCCGAGACTGGAGTACAAGGGTCGACCAGCGAGCGGAAGGAAGGCGCCCACAAGGGAGCGGATGATGGTGTTGGCGGCCGTGACGCTGGCAGCGAAGAGTGGGTAGCAGTCGACCAAGTATGTTTGGACAGCCATCTACGACATTGGCTCTTCGTTAGCACAGGAAGCAACAAATTAAAAAACTAGCAAACCTCCAGATAATGACAACAAGAACAAAAGGCTTGTACTCACGAAAATGCCCATGAGTCCTAGTCCAACCCAGCCAGTACCGATGATGGGCATAATCCAGTGGACCTCCTTCTCTACCGACCAGCCGTACCAGAACAATCCAATTGGGATGCAAAATGCGGCCGGTATTAGCCCTTCCAACCGGATCTCGGGTGACACGTCGCCTTGGGCTTGTTTCGCGCGGATACGCTTATCGCTGGTGGCACCGAACAAGATCAACCCTATGAACATGCCGATACCAATACCCAGGAAAGAGAGCCCAGCGAGACCGGTCGAGAAGCCATACGTAGTCTCATAAATCTCGGTAATGGTGGTGAAGAGGAGATAGAGGTAGCCGTAAACGATCGAGATGTAGACCTAAAAGAGACAGAGGACGAGGGTTAGAGGGTGCTGAGAGCCTTTGCTTGTTGCTGAGGTTGGAGGGTGGCGAAGGGAATGACATACAACAAAAATGAAGACAATTGGAGACCTGAAGAACATCTTGGTTGGGCGGATCAAGGCCTTTATAAGAGCCGCGCGAGGGGTGTCATTCGTTGACATCTTCGAGACGTACTGCTCATTGCCGGTCGACTTGCGAAGTTTGGCGGCTTTTCTCTCGAGGAGGACAGGAGCGTAGGTCTCTCTCATGAAGACGAAGCACATCACCATGACAACTCCAGCCTGGTCCATCCGTTAGTTGGAGAAAGGAATAGAAAGTATCGCTGCTGCCACCACCTACCGCAATAGTAATGACCCAGAAAACCCATCGCCATCCGACATTCTGTGAGAGGAAGGCACCTGCCACGGGACCTGATCATAGAGTGAGTACATTTGTTGTGAATGCTCCATACAGAGTCTAGAACAGAGAGCATCCAAACGTACCAGCGACGGGACCAATCAACGGACCCATTGCGAAGATGGCCATCTTCGACCCTCGTTTCTCTCTCGGATACAAATCTGCCACACTTCCTCCACCGAGAACCAGAGGCGCCGATCCCGCTGAACCTGCCAGAAATCGAAACCCAATGAGGCTGTCGAGCGACGGGGCCACGGCACAGGCGACCGTGAAGATAACGAACAGGACGTTCGTGATCAGATAAACCGGCAACCGCCCATAGATCTCTGACATGGGCGCACACACAAGGGGACCAAAGGCGTAGCCGACCAGGTAGACCGAGACGACGAGCGCGGCGAGAATGACGCTCGACTGGTTGAAGTCTTTCATCACGCCGGGGATTCCTGGGGCGAACATGGAGGACGCGAGCGGTCTGGAGGGTAAAACTATATCAGCAATCTTGAATAGTTGGTCGCCAGGGAGATTTTCCAGGTCGTCTGTATAACATACGTGACAAAAGTCAAACATGAGAGCATGCCGATATTGATCGCCTTCATCCGGGATGTCCAGTTCATCGGGTTTTCAGGGTCGTCGTCGCCATCCCAGTCGACGATGAAGTCATTTGCGTCCGGACGGACGTCCTCAACACCCTCCTTGGTATCCTCAGCCATTCTGAACGTGTCGACTGTGTATGGCGGTCTGGTAGCGTTTTGACGATGAATCGCGAAGCCATTCAGAGGTAGAGGGTAAAATGCACCTTTAGACTTATGTACCGAGGAAGAAACACGGCGAGACGGGGTAACAACAATCTGGGAAAGGCCACAAAAACCACCCTTCCAAGCGGGCCGAAACTCGCTTGCAGACCCAATTTGTGCAAGTTGTGCGAGTTTGTGCAAACAAGAGGTGAAATCTGGAAGCTTATTGGACAGAAGCGACAAACAAGGCGGGACCTTCGTTAACTAGTTCTCGTGTACCATCCCTAATAAAGACTAGTTTACGCCAAGATGCTACCATGAGCTCGTCCAAGCGAGTCCCGTGATTCAGGTCTTCCATCTCGGCCCCGAATCCTACTATATGTCCATCCACTCGTATAGATACACCTTATTAGGCATTCCGTACGAGATATACCAGGTATATACCGCTTGTACCTCTATTCTGAGTGAGTTCAAGGGTGCACCTCCCCCGCCCCGCCTTTACCACTGTTTTCAACCAAACATGCGTAAGATTCGATCCCGGAGATGGCATCGGAGCGATATCTCTTGACATTATCGCCCAGAGTCTACGATTCTCGCTAGGTCGCCAAGCATAGTCCATTGTCCCACCGTGCTCTTGCCTCTTTGATCAATCTTGCCTCTATCGGAGCAATCAGGAAGCTCATGAAGCCGGCGTGAACAATCTATCGACTACTATGCGAGTGCGCGTAGGACCAAGCAAATATTCTTTTATGTGGTAGCGAGGCTGTGCTGTATCGGCCACGGCTCGTGAATGCCTTGGTCAGGAATATGGCGAAGGAAAGGGCCACGGGGCCGAAGAGTCGCAAGGAGGATGGAGAGGTGGGTCTGGATATGGCCGCCGAACGTCGATAAGACTCAACTCAGCAGGCGGGTCAATTGATCCAGTGGCCGTGCATTCTCCACGCTGAACTGGAGTGGAATATCGTGTTTGGAAAATGACATTTGTCGTCGAATACAGAGTGTTCGGGGTTGAGTACTCCGCTATATCCAGCCAGCTCAATACTGCACAGACACTTCAATCAAGGGTGCCTCGATTTCCCGCGAAAATACTCAAATCATCTGTAGGTCGGTGTCTGTAAATGTGGTTCATTTGTGTCATTGAGACAGGCCAATCGGCCTTGTAAAGCCTCTGTGGTGTAGGGGTTCTAATGGAAGGATATGGAGGAAATTGTAAAACCGCTAGACCAGTGGCTGGTCTGAAGCGCCTAACTCAGAATATCTGTATGTACTGTACCTAGGTAGGGTTTCGGGGGGGGGGGGGGGAGGGGAGGACGTGCTCTTACCTAAGCTGCCTACAAGTACTTACCTGGGTGTTACCTAGGTAGCCTCTTGAGCCTCAGTGAGCCTGGGGCCCTTCAACTCCACTACTCCACGTCCTTGTACGAGCCCCATTCATCTTAGCTTTTTCTCTGCGCTTGCTCCACTCCATTTTCATCTCTTCATCTCATTCAATCGCTTTCAACTCCCTTCAAATCCCTCTTCAGTGGCTGATGGCCTGTTACATGGCAACCCAATGTCCGACTGCCTATTGTCTACTCGGTAGAGTCTACAGGAGACCAATGGAGCACCCTGTCTGCCGCAATGTCTCATTAATTGACCATATTGTTCGGCCACGTTTTGGGTCGCTGCATCCTGGCAACTGACGAGACTGGTCAATACCCCTCAGTTGACGCCGACCCTCAGCCTCACTTGGACATATCAGAGACAAACGGACCCTCAGTTCTTTCGGCAGAGGTCACGGACAGACCCGCGGCCATGTCGTGGCAAAAGAATTCATTGGGCCCGTTGCCCTCAAGGATCAAAATCGCTGGCTACATTGGATGAAATCAGCCTCATTTGACCAACCAGTAGACCACCGTTCGGCGGGCAATCCTGGCCGGCATGCTGTCACATTTGCATAACATCTGAAAGATGAGAACTTGCTCCAATATGACTGGAAAGGCGGTAGAATGGATGCCTGCAGGCAAACCGTGTTCGGCTTCACATGCAGCTCGCCAATATCAGCCAAGCACTGCCCATGGGACGACCAAAAGTGCCAGCCTGCTCTGGTCCTCTAAGGCATCTCATACAGCCTCACCACGACCCCTCGCTCTTTAATGAAGACGTATCTCTGCAGCCTCCGCCAATTCTGTCACTGTTTTTCTAACCACGGGCAGGATATATTCTTTGCTTCATCTTATGTGGACTTTGATCTGACTTCGAGAGTATGGCACCGCGCTCTCAAGCAAGCGATCACCCCCGGAAGGTGTGCAGGTTGTTTCTCAACACTGGTCGCTGCCATTACGGGTCTAGATGCAAATATCCCCATGTTGCTGCTGGCGGTCCCTCTGACAGTCTCGCAAACACAGCTGAACACCGTTTCAATCGACCCCGGCAGACGAGAAACGAGCCAGACGACAGATTCAGTACCTGGAAACTATCCGTCCCTCACGGCGCAAATGGCTTCTCTCCAACACCCCTTCCCCCCCTCTTCTTCCAAAATGCTCTCGCCTATGTGGGCTCCGATGTGGGAATAATGCAAGAGACAGTTCTCATCCTGGCCAAGGACGGTGGATTACAACGAATAAAGCAAGTGGTCGAGCGCAGTATGGATGGCATGAGCTTAGACATGCGCCGGAAAATGATCAAAGAGCAAGCAATACCACTGTGTCAAGTCATCACCCATCAACACGTACTTGCGTCCACCTTGCTTGAGGTGCACGTTGGAACAATCTACAACTTCATTTACGGCGTCCAAGGCCAGCGTGCAGTACAATTCTTCAAGACCCTCGTTGCTACCATTGCAGACTGTAGCCAAGTTGATATTTTGCCCTCGGAAATCGAAGCGGTCGTCAAGGCTTTCTCGAACATCATTGACTGCAATACTCACGCCTTGGTGAATGATGACCTGAGGCTGCTTGCAGATTCCTTGTTTGATGTCGTGGCCAAACTCGACGAGGGTGAAGCTCACGAGTCAAGGAGAATAGTGAACCGCATCAATCAACGACTAGGGATCGGGCGAGAGCTGACAGGTTGGAAGCCACCAAAGACAACAGCGTTACCAAAGGCCACTTTCGCTCTGCAGCAAGACCTGCCCGGGACTTTATCCAAGGACGGGCCGCGGCATGACAACGACTGCGTCAACGCTTGTGATATACAGATTATGCCCACATTCGAAGAAATCAATGCAACACGCTCTGAATATCTGCCGTCCATGAATCCGCAGGACTGGCATCTCCCCGGAGTTTTAGGACTCCTGGATCGACACTTCCGTCTTCTTCGAGAAGATACCGTGGGGCAGCTTAGGGATGCTGTAAGGCAAGAGGTGCAAGCTTCCCACAGTATAGAAAATAGAGGTAAACCTCAAGGTTCGCGGAAATTGACATACGACAACGCCCGGGTTGTGAAAATCGATTTCAACAGATGGCAAGGCCTGCTCATCACTATCGGCTTCGACCAGCCTTCTCATCTTCGGCAACGCTCGGCCAAACACAGGAAGGAATGGTGGGAATTTCAGAAACGCCTCCGTGTAGGCTCCCTCATTTGCCTTCTTTCCAATGGGGCTTTGATATTCTGCTCGGTTATTGAACGCAAGCCAACCAAACCCTTAGCAAAAACCGACGACTCATCCAGTTCAGACGACGAGAAGATTCCAAATCGACCTGAAAAACCTCAGGACCTGTTCTCGGACCCTGTCCGAGCCTTCACTACCGTCTCCTTGGTCAGCGACAGGACAGAGGCCGTCCTGGATCTCATGAAAGCCCCTAATTCCGCTTCCGCCAAAATAGTTGAGTTCCCTGGTGTTCTGCTGCCCTCCTTCGAGCCGACCTTGCGAGCTTTGCGAGCAATGCTTCGAAATCCCGAGATGCCCTTCTCAGAGTACCTAGCACCTGAAGCCCAAGCAGATTTATCGAAAATTGCAGCCCCCTACTATGCCACCAGACCCGGGTTTGAGTTCGACCTCAGCTGCATCATGAAAGACAAGACTGTGATGAAGATTGCCGTTGACGATGATTCCAACCACGAGGCGTTCCGTGAGAACTCCATTCTTGACAGAGCCCAGGCCGATGCGCTTCTCACATCTCTCCAGCGCTCCCTCGCTCTGATACAGGGACCTCCCGGGACGGGTAAGAGCTTCACTGGAGTGGCACTGATCAAGGTGCTGATCGCAATACAGGCACAGGCCAAGCTTGGTCCGGTGCTGTGCGTTTGCTACACTAATCACGCACTTGATCAACTTTTAGAAGACCTGGTGCGACATGGCATCGGTCAGATTGTCCGTATTGGATCCCAGTCGAAGTCCGAGATATTGCAGAATTGCAACCTCCGTATTCTGGCCAGCAATATTGATTTGACCAAAACCGAGAGACATGAACACTGGGTGCTGAAGTTAAGGCTTGATGAAGACGAAAGAATTATATCTAAGGCCATAAAGAGACTTTCGCTCGAAGGGGATGTCGCAGCACTCAAAAGCTACCTCGAAATTTATTATCCCAAATCATACAGGACTTTTTTTGGCGGAGAGGACGACGATGGATTTGAGAGGGTTGTGCGTCACAAGACATACCTGTTAAATGCATGGCGTAAAGGTGGCTCACCTCAAGGTCCTGTCCGCCGACTAGAGAGTCTACTCGAGGTGCCCAACATCGAGTCTTTGAATCATTTTGAGAGACAGCGGCTGTATTACCATTGGTTGGCAGAATCCAAAAAGACAGCCCAGGCCGAACTATTGAACGCGCTGGCACAGTACAAGGAACACAAGGAACGATTCGATCAAGTCCGGGCAGGCGTTGATCTTCGATGTTTGCAACAGGCTAAGATTATCGGTGTAACCACTACAGGTCTGGCGAGAACGTTGCCAATTCTTCGAAAGCTCAATTCCAAGGTCCTTGTTTGCGAAGAGGCTGGAGAAGTGCTTGAGGCGCATATTCTTACCGCTCTCCTGCCTTCTCTAGAGCACGCAATCTTGATCGGTGACCATCTTCAACTTCCCCCCCATATCCAAAGCTACGAACTGTCGAGAGAAAGTTCTTTGGGAAAGCGACACTGTTTGGATATATCCCTGTTCGAAAGACTGGTAACGCCTTCATGCTCTACCCAGACTGCGGTGCCTTTTAGTACCCTGGAGACACAGCGACGAATGCATCCCTCGATTTCCAAACTCATCCGCAATACGTTGTATCCACGGTTGAGTGACTCTTCAGACGTGGAATCATATCCGCCTGTGGCTGGACTAGCCAAGAGACTTTTCTGGCTCGACCATGCGCACCATGAGGATGGTGTCCTCTCTTACTCGGATGCGACAACTTCCCATTCGAATACCTTTGAAGTCCAGATGGTCACCGCACTGGTGTCTCATCTAGTTAGACAGGGTGTCTACCACACGAATGACCTAGCGGTTCTCACTCCCTACCTTGGCCAACTTCAGAAAATCCGCCGAGCACTCCAAGGGTTGTTTGAGATCTCCTTGACCGAAGGCGACATGCTTGAATTGGAAAGAGAAGAAATTGGAAAGGACAATGATGAGGCGGGTCATAGTGTCACGCCTGCTCTCCAGAAGACCCCTCTCTCGCGGGCACTCAAAGTGTCTACCATTGACAACTTTCAAGGAGAAGAGGCCAAAGTCGTTATCATCTCATTGGTGAGGAGCAACGACCAGAACAAGTGTGGCTTCCTTCGGACATCAAACCGAGTCAACGTCCTTTTGTCCCGCGCCAAACACGGAATGTACATCATCGGGGACTCGCGCACCTCTGGTCATGTCCCAATGTGGGCTTCTGTGATCGACATGCTTCATTCTGACGATAATTTCGGCGAGTCGCTTCCACTTCAGTGTCCCCGCCATCCACAAGCCACATTCTCCGTCTCGAAACCGGACGACTTCGCCATCTTCTCGCCTGAAGGAGGGTGCAACCTGCCATGCGAAATGCGCTTGAGTTGTGGGCATTCCTGCCTCAGCAAATGCCATTCGCAAATGCTACACAGTGCTGTCAAATGCCTCGAACCATGTCCCAGGTCTCTGAAAGGATGTGACCACATGTGCCCTAACAAGTGCGGAGATGCCTGTCCTGTCAAATGCCCAGAGAAGCTACACGACCTCCACCTCACCCTACCTTGCGGCCACATGCGAAATACCCTGCCGTGTTGGCAAGCTAGACATCCTTCCAAGGTAGTCTGCCAGGATAGGGTCACTCGAGTTGTCCCTGGTTGTGGCCATCAGGTTGAACTTTCATGCTATGAGAGTGTTGAAACCAACGGCTTTTGCTGCAACGCCAACTGCGGTGAAGCTCTTCCGTGCGGCCATGCTTGTTCGAAATCTTGTAACGTCTGTAAGATAAGAGAAGATGGCAAAGTCATCAGAGAAGACCATGGGAGATGCCAACACGCATGCGGCCGTGCCTTCAAATCGTGCACGCACCTGTGTAAAGAAAAATGTCACGGGGATAGTCCTTGTCCACCATGCCGAGCTCCTTGCGAAGTATCATGCCAGCACTCAAAATGCACGAAACGCTGCCATGAGCCGTGCGTTCCCTGCGCAGAGGGAAGATGCTCCTCCAAATGCCCACACAGCGCTTGTACTCTTCCTTGTGCCGCTCCATGTGACTGGATACCTTGTTCAAAACGCTGCGCCCGTGTCCTGAGTTGCGGGCATCGATGCCCTTCGCTCTGTGGCGAGGTCTGTCCACTCCCAAGATACTGTCAGATCTGTGCTCCTGAGGAGGTGAAGAAGATGGTGGTCGATCTGTTGTTGATGGAGGAATACCATGAGATCAATCTGGACGAGAACCCATGCATAATCCCTCCGTGTGGTCATATTTTGACCATGGAAAGCATGGATGGTCAAATGGAGATGTCAAAGCATTATGCTGATGATGGGCTTGATGTCCGAATTACTGATTCGGCAATGCCGTTTTCCAAAGATGAGCTGAAGGTGTGCAGCAGCTGTCGAGGCTCACTACGAACCATATCAAGGTACGGCCGCATAGTCCGAAGAGGACTCATTGACGACGCCACCAAGAAATTCATCATATCCGCGAACCAACAATTTCTTCCGCTTTACCAGTCAGTTCGCCAACACCAAGCCGAGTTGGCCAAGTCGGTCAAAGATGTCCAATCTCAGGGGAATAAGATGCACTTGGAGGAACAAGTTCTGTCTGGTGGACGCAAGGACCAAGTCAAGCTGATATTCAAGGTCGCGCATGATTTGCGATACTCGTCAATTGCGAAGACACGCAATCACATTATGAGATACCTTCGCCAGGTCGACATCGACGAACAGCCTTTCAAGCGAGTTTGGGATATGGTGCAATTCGCCCGAAAACAAGGCAAAACTAGCAGCGATGTGGGATTCGATCCAACCGCCATACAAACCAGCCAGACTTTACAGGGCGAATCGCTGCTGTTGAGATGCGAGCTTGTTATATTGTTGGACTTCTTGGCAGCCTTTGGAACCTGCCTGCGCGACGTCAACCTGGAAGCCAACAGAGTCGACTGCTTGAAGCTGTTAGCGGCCGCCCGGGAAGCTCTCCAACCGGCCGTGGAGGTCGAAGCTCACACATTCTACGCGCAATGCTGCCTGGCTGAACGGACCTACAGCGGACGATCGGATACCTTTACAGGTCTAAGCAAAGAAGCCACTGAGCATATTAGTGACGCCCAGCAAGTATGCACTCGGTACCCAGGCTCGACCAGACATGTGGTGGGTGAGGTGAAGACAGTTGAGGGAATGTTAGAGTCCTCGACCTTTACGACAGTGGTGAATGATGATGAGTGGAGGCTTGTGATCAACGCGATGGCGAGTGATTTCCGTGGATCAGGGCATTGGTATACCTGCGCCAACAACCACCCGTTCACTGTTGGGGAGTGCGGCATGCCGATGGAGCAAGCGCGTTGTCCTCAATGCGGCGCTCCGGTGGGCGGGCAAAACCATACACCCGCCGAGGGAGTCCGACGTGCGACAGAGCTCGAGAACAGGTTTTCGGACTTGAGGCTTTGAAGAGCCAGATGCTGAAGTGGCTAGATGTCGACGACAGAACGCCAGTTGACGGCAGGGGTGTTGACGCTCGGATCACATCGTGACCTACCAGCAATGCTTCCAGCTGGGGACTATGATTCATGGATTTGTGAATGGGTGACATTTTGAAGGACATTGGGAAGAACATGCAGCAGACCGTGGACAACGGGCTAGTTAGACAAGGTGATGCGCCGCCAAGTACTCGGTGTGTATGTCATGCCTGATGTACGGGCTTGACGGGTACGGTACGACTATGCCTCGTCCACTCGTGTAAGCCATTGGCTCCTTGGCTTTTGAGATTTCCGCCCTAGTCAAAATACGAGTCCATGAGGATTTCATCCTGCAATCTTGAAACGCCGTTGGTGGTTGGTAGCTGTAGAGAAGGTGATCTACGCCCCCCTGCCTACCCTGCTTGTGAGCCTCGTGGGATTGCAGACCAAGGTACTGTACATAGGTGACCTCACTGCCCTCCTAGGTATTATTACATACCTCGGTACATACATAGGCAGTTGGTCGACAGTGGCAGACCCACACATGCGCCCTCGTCTAAAATCTCACTCGAGATCTATAGAATCTCGTGACTTGACTTGACTTGACTCGGGTTGTGTGTGTACAGTGTGGATGTATGTATGTATATTCCATGTGCCAAAAAAAAACTACGAGTAGGTTTTCTGGAAACGAAGCTGAGCACGCGGATCAGGGGAGTGAATACCTCGTGCGTACAAAAGTCAACGGCCCACCGATGCTAGCTAGCTGGGTAGCTGGGTAGCTGGGTGGCTAGCCAGGTAGCCCGAAGGAGGGAAGGCAGTTCTGTTGCGGACGGCCTCAATCACGGAGTCATTTGGCGTGTTGCTGATCCGGGTGCTGCTGCTGCGGCTGCGGCTGCTCGGGAATGTGGATATGGATGTACACATGTATATGTATATATAAATGCAGGCGTCTGCTGAGAAGTCCCTGGGGATGTTCTTCGTGTGTAGAAAAACAAGGCCTTTTTTTCTTAGTGGGACACCAAAGCCAGCATACCGAACATGGCGTCTCCTCGGACATTCGCTCTGCTCCTCTCAATCCTAACCATCGGCGTTACAGCTCTGGGTTCGACAACGCCATGTACGGCGCTGACCAAACCGGTCATCGACGGAGCAAATGTGCTCTCGATCCAGTCGCGACATCTCCCAAACGCGACGGTACTGGCCAACCCTCCCCTTCTCAACACCAACTTCACCGGACTGGACGTCTGCAGTGTCGATCTGGTCATCTCGCACCCCGGCGCGGGCGACAAGGTCAAGATAAAAGTGTGGTTGCCGTCGTCGAGGAGTGCATGGAATGGCCGCTTCGTGGGGACTGGGGGTTCGGGATATGCGGCGGGATTCTTCGAGTACAATCTGGCCCCGGTGGTGGCGCTCGACTATGCCGCCGCGTCAACCGACGCGGGCCTCTCGGGTGACCCCTATAGTCCGGCGATGTGGGCTCTTCGTGCCAACGGCACCGTGAACGAGGATCTCTTGCTCAACTTCGCTTCGAGGTCTGTGCACGACATGGCTGTCGCGGGCAAAGCGATCACAGCGCAATATTACGGCAGAAAACCGGCCCACTCGTACTGGAATGGGTGTTCGACGGGCGGGAGACAGGGCTTGGTCGCAGCACAACAGTACCCCCGGGATTTCGACGGTATCGTGGCCGGCGCACCGGCCATCGACTGGGCCAGGTATGTCGTCGCTGAACAATGGCCGCAGGTGGTCATGAAAGAGGAGGAGACCTATATCAGTCAGTGTGTCCTCCAAGCTTTCACCGAGGCGAGCACTGCTGCTTGTGATGCGCTGGATTCAGTGATCGACGGTGTCATTACAGATTTGCAACACTGCAAGTTTGACCCGTTCACGTTGGTAGGGGAAGGTGTGCAGTGTGAAGGAGGCAACGAGAACATCACCAAGGAAATGGCCAGTGTCGTCGCCAAAATCCTAACAGGACCACAAGGACCGGCCATCTCCCATCGCTATGCCCTCAACCCTGGAGCTGCACTGGACAGTCTGGCCAATACGACCATCGTCAACGGAACTCGAACCGGTCTACCGTTTTTCGTGAATGATGCCTGGATCAAATACTTTGTCAAGAAAGACCCGGATTTTGACACGAGCACCATCGGATACTCGGCATTTAAGACCATCTTCAATCAATCCCAGCGAGAATTCGGTCAAGTGATAGGCTCGGATCAGCCAGATCTCTCTACATTCCATTCCGTCGGGGGGAAAGTGATTGTATGGCACGGCCTGGCCGACCAACTGATATTTCCCCAAGACACAATTGCCTACCATCAGAAAGTCACACGGACCCTGGGGAACGCGTCCACAGTGGCCGAGTTCTATCGCACGTTCCTCGCCCCGGGTGTCGATCACTGCGGTGCAGGCCCGGCCCCTGGAGCAGTTCCGGTTGATCCGCTCTCGGCGGTTGTGGCGTGGGTTGAGGAACACAAGGTGCCCGATGTGCTGGAGGCTCGCAAGATCAGAGATGATGGGACGGTCATGTCGAGGGACTTGTGTCCTTTTCCCGCCACGTCGCGTTATCGGGGTGCTGGTGACAAGAGCCTAGCAGGAAGCTATATCTGTGCTTGAGCGAGTGGTGGAGGGAAGTTCTGCAATAAGTACACGATGTGGCGGTCCCCTCCCCGTGTTAGCGTCTCATCGGATCGAGACGAGTCTGGCCAGGACCCTTGCGAGAGGCACAGAGAGATCGTCAAGATACGGTAGCCTCATCATGTGGTTGGGGGACAAGGTGTTCACTGTATATTCTGAACCTCGTATTCCTGTGTGCTTTTAGGTGGTGGTCAGCAATAGATTGAGATGGTGTTGACAGTCAGTGAATATGACAACCAATAAGTCGAACTGAGGGAGACGGGGGAACGTCGGGTCTGAGGCCGGACGCTACACAGCTCCGCAGTTACGCAGGCACCGCAGGCTGCGCACGAGGCTCAAGCTTGTCTCGTACCCCGCAAAGCTCCAGATTTCCCTTTACCCAGCCGTGCCAGCCAAGCCAGCTGACCACTTGCCATCCACATCTCATCAATCACTGAAAACACAACTTCTCGTGTGCTCTTCTTTTTTAATCTTGTCATGCCATCTGACAATGGCTAGAGCCTAGCATTATCAGCGTCCCTCATCACCATCTTTGCTATCGAAACGACCTTCCCTATATATCCGCCTTAGCCCCGTGGGCCGAGTCAGAAAAAGAGAAGGAAGAAACGGAGAGTGAGAAGAACGAGAGAGCGAGAGGGTCATGTTCCGGCACGCGCGGCCGACAACAATTCAATCTGCCTCCCTACTACTCCCCCCGTCGCTTGTGCCGTCAACTCTGCTCGATTGTCATATGCTAAGGCAGGAAGCCCGTGATCCACCAGAGCGAACAAGATGCATCAGTCTGACCGAGTGACGGACGATGGCCGCTCCGCCCATCACGCCGACCGATCCCAACAACGTCGCCAGAAGGCGGTCGACCCCGAATGGACCAGTGCCAAAAACGGCATTTCCGCAGCCGACCAGGCCTCCGAGTCAAACGATCCTCCCAGCAAACGACGACGAGTCGCACTGGCGTGCACCGTCTGCCGAGGACGGAAATCACGTGTGAGTTTTTTTGGTCTGCGTGGGCCTTGGGACGACCGGCCATGACATGAGCATTCTATCATTGTGTCGAGCTGACTGCGGAGTGCCTGTGCTAGTGCGATGGCATGCGTCCCAAGTGCTCATTGTGTATCGAGTTGGGATTTGAATGCGTCTATCAACAGTCTGCGTCGTATTCCAACATCATCATCGGCAAGGAGTGAGTTGCAAGTCCTCCGACACTGAGTGCATCGTCGTTGATCCGCCTTCCAGGTACCTATCGTCCATCGAGGATAGATTAAAAGAGGTAGAAGGCCGCCTTGCTTCGCTAGAGAATCGCGACCGGAACGTTGTCTACCAACCTGCCAATCCGAACACCTCAAATGGCGTCTCTTCCCTGGATTCTGAAAAGCAGGAAACCGCGTGCCTGCGAGAAGAGAGTCTCGAAGATGCCGAAACCGTCGAAGACCCCATTGATGCTATGGGGGCGGTCACCTTTGCGCAGGAAGAGGACTGCGCATTCTTTGGGCCTTCTTCAAATATCGCCTTCTTGAGACACGTCTCGAGGGCCGTGGCCCGGTTGACTCACGATCCCGAACCCTGGAAGCCGTCTCCCGCAGAACATCATTCAGTAGGATTTACAGGAGGCTTCATCAACACCTCAGGCCCGGCCTCGCCCATTCCGACGCCACGCGATCCTCCTCTCGATCAAGTGAACATCTATGCTCTTCCTCCTGACTCGGTCGCACGGGAGCTCCTCACCTGGTACTTCAGCAACACGGGCCTATTGTTTCCCTATATTCATGAGCACTCGTTCATGGCCATATTTGAACAGGCCAGCAAGGACAAGTTCAAGGGCGTCAGGAGAATTTGGCTCGCCCTCCTCAATATCGTCTTCGCTCATGCCGTAGTCCACGCACGGGAAATCACCACCACTCCAGGAAGTGTCGAGTCAGCCTCGGCGAAAGCCAGCGCAGAGTCAGAAATATACTTTCGCAGAGCTTCAGGGCTCTTCAACGACAAGAACGCGAATGGAACGGGGACTAGTATCGAAGTTGGTAAGTTGTTGGCTACCTTGGAGTGTCCCGTTGCTTACAGAAACAGTTCAGTTCCTCCTCCTCATGGGCCAGTACCTTCAAGGAACGCAGAAATCAGTACAGACATGGAACACACATGGTCTTGCGGTGCGAGCCGCATTCCAGATCGGACTTCATTCCAGCGATCTAGCCAGAGTCTTTCCTCCGCAGGAGCAGGAGGTTCGCAAAAGGACATGGTTTGGTTGCATCATGCTCGACCGGACCTTGAGCATGACCTTTGGCCGACCACCCGCAATCCCTGACAGCTACGTCCAAGTTGATCTGCCCATGGAATTCTCCGTAGTCGACGGTGGAG